AAGGCTGAACTTTGTCCTTAAGCCTATAGGCTTGAAAGATGAGCTGCCTAAGCCACCTAGAAATGGTAGAATGAGAAGCAGGTAGTCCGTTACAGGGACCCTTAGTAATGATGAACAGAGAGTCAGTGAGGCTCACTTTGCAAGGGAATTTCCCCTTAGGCTAGTAAATAAGGGGAAGCTTTGCTGACTTCTATCATCCAATCATGTGTAAGTAGGAATACTGTTTTTATAATGTTATCTGCACATCATTAGGTAATCTTTGCAACTAACTAATCCAGAATTCAGAATTTAGTGAATACCTCCATTCACTTTGTGAACTATAAACAGGTTTGAGTACATACCTTGAAACTTGTGCTTTTCAGGGACAATGGCAATGAGAAAGGAGTTGCGCCAGAGAAGCGTGGAGGTCTGCTAGTCTTTTTCTGGCAGCTTGGTGAAGACCCGAGGTTCACTGGACAAACCAAAGGGAAGAGCAACAAACTGGTAATTTTGATTGCCTACAGCAAAACTCAGGTAGCATTGATGCACCAGAATGGGGATATGCATGTTGGCCTCCTTGATGTCCACTTAAGCCAGAAAATCCTCCAGATGGAGGGAGGCAATGACTGATCTGCTAAATTTCCTGCGGAATTTTTGCACTTGAATGAAGGTATGCAGTACCTTTAGATCCAGAATTTAGTGAATACATCCATTCACTTTGTGAACTATAAACAGGTTTGAGTACATACCTTGAAACTTGTGCTTTTCAGGGACAATGGCAATGAGAAAGGAGTTGCGCATGAGAAGCGTGGAGGTCTGCTAGTCTTTTTCTGAGATATTGGCAGACTTGACAATATGAAGTGAATACCACATTTTGTACCTATACATCTGAGATGCTTTTGGTCCAGATGGCCGCAAAGGCCACAAAGGCTAACAGGGAAGTGAGGGCATCCCCTCATTGAGAGAAATACTTACTTGCAGGCTTGGGAGATTAGGAGGTCTAAAGATTTGACTTGGAGGACTGGGAGAAAAGTGAGAAATTCTTCTTAGGATCAGAGGTATAATGTTTCAGAACTACTTGCCGACTTCTATCATCCAATCATGTGTAAGTAGAAATACTGTTTTTACAATGTTATCTGCACATCATTAGGTAATCTTTGCAACTAACTAAGCTTTAACTAAGCTTAGGGAAAATTCCATCATAAAGTGAACTGCCTATTTGTCTTTAGTAAATCAATTCCACTTAGTATGAAGTAGAGATGATCTTAGGTTTAGATTTAATCTTAGCTCACCCAAACCCAGAGGGAAGCTGCCAGTGCCATCCCAATCAGGTGTGACCAGGGCGCTCCCTGCCCTGCAGCTGCACATGAACAAAGGAGTGGGATGCTGTTGACATCATTGGCCTTATAAGACCACATGCCCATATTTGGTCAGTGACATTTTGAAGAGCAATGAGAACCAGATTGAGATCCCATGGAGTCACAGGTTGATCAACAGGTGGAACTATGTGATCAACACCCTGTACAAAGGCTTTCAAAAAGGAATAAGATGCAAGCAGTCTTTGAAAAAGAATTGCTAGAGCTATGATTTGACCTTGAACTATGATTTGATAGTACTCAAGGCCAAAGGTTGATCCAGACCTGGAGAAAGGACAGGATGCGACCCATGCAGTATTTTCTGGGATGAACTTGCTTAGTTTGCTGCTGAATCTGGATGCCAGGAGATCCACGTCTGGGATTCCCCAACAGCGACAGAGGTCTAGAAACAACTCCAGGTGCAGGGATCATTCCCCTGGGTCCAGACATTTTTAGCTGAGGAATTCTGTCTGACAGAACCAAGGAATCATAGGTGGGTGTAAAGGTGGAAATATGTGTGACACTCTATGCAAAGGCTTTCACCAAGGAATGAGAAGAAAGCAGTCTTTGAAAAAGAATCACTGCTGGTGGGATTTAACCTTTGATAGTACTCAAGGCCAAGGGATGATCCAGACCTGACTGGAAAAATGTATCATGGTAAAGGCAGCATGGTATTTCCTAGGATGGAATTTCCTTGCCTCGCACCATGCAAATTACACTTTGCAAGTGACATGGTAGACCTTGCCGGATGTGTATTTCCTAGCTTTCATGTGGCATAGGTATGCTGAAATCAGACAGAGCTATCTTTTAAAACCTGGGCTTCAACAGCCATGCTACCAAACATGGAAAACTGGTCAGTGAAACAACAGATCTGGGCAATCTGGGAGAGCTCACAGAGAATCTGCCAGGGGTCTGCTGAGGTCCGAATACCACATCCACCTGGGTAAATTTGGTGCGATAAGTATTACTGAAATGCCCTCTATCTTGTTCCTGCGAAGCAGACAAGGCAGGAGCTTCAGAGGAGGCAAGGTGAAAATATCTAGGAGTATTGGATCTTCAGAGGGGGTCAAGCGTCAGATCAGGTTAGCCTGATCCTGTGGAGTTACCAGAGCATCCACTGCCATAGCTAGAGGATCTCTGGACCTGGAGACAAATGTTCAACTTGTTGTTGAATCTAAACGTCCGTAGGTCCATGTCTGGCATTCAGAGAAGGAAAGGCATCAGATCAGGTTGAACTGATCCCATAGAGTCACCAGAGGATCCTCTGCTATGGCTAGAGAAAGACTTACTTGCAGGCTTGGGAGATTAGGAGGTCTAAAGATTTGACTTGGACTTGGAGGACCGGGAGAAAAGTGAGAAATTCTTCTTAGGATCAGAGGTATAAGGTTTCAGATGTTCAGATAGGAGGTTCAGGAGGACTAAATAGTTTGTCTTGATTAGACCAGTCAGAATACAAAAGAGGTTGCAAAAGTGAGTGCACTGGGAAAGTTTTAACAGGTTGGGGACTTTTAAGAGAGCCCAGACTGGTAACTTTAGGGAATGCAGATGCAGGTTGCTCCAGTTCTAGATATGTGTGCACTGTGACAATAAGGATCGAGACAGTATTCTTAAACTTAGGATGTATCAGCAGACTAAACCTCCTTAGATGCAAAGTAAGCAAAAAGGATAGGGGTAAACTCGTTATCATCTGCAGCTGAATGTACAGAAGCAGCTGTCGGGAAAGCAGTGATTTTTTTGCATAAAAGTAGACATAACCACAGAGAATTTCTGGACTATGGTCCAGGCTGTTGGTGGCAGGTCCCTTTGGCGGGACACTGGAAGCTTTCCTGCAGCTATTAGTGGATCATGAATTGGAAGGGCCCAGAGGTCCACTTCCAGTGTGCTTATGATCCAACATACTGCGCTAATGTAAAGAGCTAAAAAACCCAGGGGACAAGGGAGGTTAGATCGTCAATATAATGGAAGGAGGAACTGTGTCAGGTCCTTGCAGGGAGTGCTGTGGTGGTAAGGCACTTCAAGCAGGAGACACAGAAGAGGCAGAAATCAACATGATTATGTGTGCCCTGACAGCTGCAACACAATAGTGGGCATGAGGCCAGAGTAGTGCAAGGCAGTTTAAAGCATATGCACCTGAAAATCTCAAGTTAGAGCAGACTGGGCGTAGGCCTGAGTGTTGACGATACATTTTTACTAAGCAAGTGCTGGGCAGTTGTAAGTTTGAACAAGTCTAGGCGCCAGCACAGTAAAATAACAGCGAACCTGTGACATACTGAAAACAGTCACAGCCCTGTTACCACAGAGTGTCTGTAGCAGGGGAGGTTAACACATGCTAGGCTCCAAAAAGGGGACAAGCCCCAAAAACGTAGCACAGTGGTGATCTAGAGAGTGCCTTGTGGCAAGCATACAATAAAGAACTGGAGAATGTGAATGCAGGACCCAGTTGAACAAATCATATTCTAGACAGCATTTGCACCTCAAGTGGGCATACTGCCTAAGAAGACAGAATTCTACCAGTGGGTGTACTATGTGCATGGTCATGTAAAGACCTCTGCAGCTAACTAACATGATATACCAGGTGTCTGGAAAGCACCCAAAGCTGAGCTCGGTGCCCGAAAGTCACATTACATGCCAATCCCACATCTTCATCATGGCGAGGTCCAGTTATGACCTCCATAGATATGCAGAGTACAGGCCAATCTGAAAAAAATGTATAACAGAGCGCTCTTGGCTCTGCAGTAAGCAGAAGCTTGGTTGGAAAAAAACAACAGTTTATTTTGTTACCACCGTCCAATTTTCCTGTAGGAGTCAGTATAACCCAGTTGTCTTAGAGTTACTCTGAGGGACCCTGTGTCCCTTAATGAACAATATAGAAACAATAATTGCAAAATCTATATATTAAAAATGCAAAAACAGTTCTTTACATTAGAAAAAATTAATTATCCAGATGGGGACAAATTGAAATTTGTATTCTAATACAATTATCCACATTTTTGTGAATAAATAGGCTTTTGAATAAAAAAATGTGCTATCTGTGGTATTCCTAGTAAGATATGTACCGTTATAATAAGCTAAAAATAAACTTGGTAGATCACATAACATGCACCTTATGTGGCTAGTTCCACTATATTGCCAGATTTAGGTGTACAGGGACTTCCACTTCAAATCTGAAATACATACAACTGCTACCTCTTATAAAGAGATCAAGGCCATTGGCTAGCATTAGCAAGTAATTTTAAGTTTCTGCTAAGTATTTGTAGTTATTTACGCTTTAGAAAGTTCTACTAAAATTTTGAAAGATTGCTTCTTTAAAAAAATATAATATAAATATATATGCATACATATTACAAAGTTTGTAGAAACATATTTCAATGCAGATGTCTATGAACCACATACACTGTACATCTGCAGCCAATAATGTACGGAACCAGTGAGCACTGAATTATCTCAATACTGAAAGCTTTGATAGTAGCAAGCATAACCACTTGACAGACAGGGCACAACACTGCACTACACATGGCATCACCCACTCACTGTAGTAGACCCTAGGTCCTACCCCTAAATCTTAACACTCTCGGTTCCATATACGTTGTAACCTTCTCTATATGTGGCTAAATTCTGGGTATTCTGCGAGGAAGATGGGTTAAAATTCTGTGCACTCTTTGCCAC